TGGAAAACTAGCAAAAATTAAGGAAATTACAATTAAAATAGCATAAATATGATTTCCCTATGAAGAAAACTTTTAAAATGGGGAATATCTTAATTAATTGTGGCTGATTTAGCGGAAGAAATTCTGCCAAAATATTTTTTTTTTTCTCAAGTATTGTCATTTTTCATGAGATTTAACATGTAAGGAACTTTTTTCTTTCTCAAGATAGCTTGCAATTTAAGAACAATTTCTTCTTTTGACTGATCTTTAATTGTGAAGATTTCCCATATAATTAGGAAATAAAATTTCATGAGAATTTTTCCTTTTCATGTCTTGCAGAATTTTTTTCTTTTCTTATTTAGTTTCCTCTTGCACTTGGGGCGAATATAATATACTATTATATCTTTGGGTTAATAGCCACGTTGTCATCTTTTCTTAAGTTTCTTTAATGAGTCTAATCCCATCTTCCTCACTGATTCACGCTTGGATGACAAGTTGGAAGATTTATTGTAATCTTTTAGCTCTCTCCATTATAATGGGCCCACTTGGCATTGAAATATCCTCCACCAACTTGACCCATGTCCATGCTCACATCGGCTCTGGTTCTAGGTTTCTTTTTAAACAAATATGGGAGGTTAAAGTCCCTCCGAGAGTGGCTTTATTTGCGTGGGAGACCGGAAGGGGGTGCATCCTAACTATTGATAAATGGATGAGAGAAATGACTATGGTAAACAGATGCTATCTAAAAAGGATGCTGAATCTTGTAATCATGTTCTTATACAGTATCTTGTTGCTTACAAGCTATGGTCTATGATTTACGAATTATTGGATATCAGTTGGAGGATGCAGGCTCGACTAAAGATGAAATCTGTGTGTTGAAGGGTATCAGTGAGCACAGGAAATATGTGGACCTTACCCCACTTACCATCTTTTGGGTACTTTAGAAAGAAATAAATAAAAGAGCTTCCATGGCGGTAGATGATGTTGAGGATTTTAATAAGATTAGGAATAGATGTTTTTAGACTTTTAGTTTTTTTATTTTGGTGTCATCTTCTATATTTTATGGAAGATCTTGGAGATCTTGTTGATATTTTGATATATATATAAATATTTTATAAACGGATTGGTATCTCTTTGGTGTCTGTTCATATATTATTTTATATTTTTATTTAAAAGAAAGAAAAAAACACAACATTTAAGGGTTATAGCCTAAAGAAATGGTATTGAAGGGATCTTTTTCATCTTGATATTCCATGTGCCTTCTTTGTTTCTTTTCTTCCTTTTGTCGTTTAAGGAATATTCTTAGATTGGTCAGTAGGATTCTGTTTGGTAATTCAGCATGCTTCCTCTCATCTTCAGTAACAGTTTTTGTTAGCATGAAGAATGGAACTAGCGGCTTTTAACATTAAACTTTCTTTGTCTTATTTACAGAGTAGTTCCTTATCCTTTTTAATCATTCTACTTCTTTCATTGGTGATGGGCATCCTCCTCAACTTTACAATGTTCTTGTGTACAATAGTTAACTCAGCCCTGACGACAACCATTGTTGGAGTCCTGAAAGGCGTAGGATCTACTGTACGTATCAACAGTCTTTTGTCTGTTTGGCGCATAGAAAGCCAAGACTAATGCTGGGATTTAAAGTTTGTGCCTTTTTTCTCAGCTTAACAATTGTTTATTTTCTCTTTTCTCAGACACTTGGCTTTGTTCTACTGGGTGGTGTTCAAGTACATGCTCTGAATATTACTGGGCTGGTCATCAACACAGCTGGTGGTGTGTGGTATTCATACGCCAAATATCAGCAGAAAAAGAGCAAGGCATTGAGGCTGACTTCAAATGTTGAATCTCATCGAAAATGAGCCAGTTCAGGAAAAGATTGGAGGTTGGTTAATTTTCATTAATTTATCTTTTTTAGCTGACTAAACATCCTAAGCTGTCTAATGAATGTTCCAGGTCGGTAGTAAAACAAGGACGAAATTGAGATTTAACATGTTCCGATTTTTTATATTTGGTATAGTAACTCTATAGCATTGAGACCATTTGATTGTGAAGGGAAGGGGAAGAGGAGTAGTATGAAGTTTTTAAGGGATACAAATTATCAGATATACATGGGAAAAATCTGCGTTAAAGAGCTTGATTTTGTTGTTAAAACTGTTACTAGACTATATGATAGTTACTCTTATATTCTTGAGACTTTTTAATAATCGACTACTGATAAATTTTTGTAATTCATTTGCATGAATAGATACTCAACTATTCTTCTATCCTTTAATTCATGTTTTTTTTTTTGTAATTGTTGCTAGGAGTTTTACAATCCTTGCTTGATGTTATCAGTATGCATGCATCATACATGACACATTACAATTACAAAGTTCAGATTATCACTAGAAATATGGACTTTCATTTCTGTATAATGTTTATGAGCCACTTGTCCTTTGAAATAATTTGTTCTACATAAATTAATAACGATGGGATGTCCCTCATCACTTGGCCCTAGTTGAAAAAGTTCAAGGGACTCTTATGATTTCTTAGATTATGAATTTTTTTTTCAAAGTTGGAAGGACTAACTCAAATTTTCAAAAAATAAAAAAGAACTTAAAGTGATAAAATGGTCTATGTATTATTAATGTTTTTTAGTTAAGTTGTCGAGCTGGAAGGAAATGATGACTGGCGGTTGGTGGTGGATGGGTGTTTCGCCATGATCAGCAAACACCCAGAAGTCATAGTGTAAGTCGAGGTTCATTAAGAAAAGAACATAATAGGTGAAGAAGATGGCGATTACAAAGAATCCAAAAAGAGAAGATCATGAAGGAGAATGAAACCGGACAAGGAAGAAGACTGATAATCAAAGGTTATAAGCTATATTAATGGAGAATTTTGTATATGGAACAAAAGTGTTTATTGTAATTTCAAATTTGGAGGAAAAAAAATCAAAATGACACAAACCAGATTCTGCGTCTCTCTGCAGCCCCCGCTTCAGCAAACTTCTCTCTCCTAAAAGAAACCAGAATCTGGGTCTCTCTTTCCTCAAGGTTTCTTCAAGCTTCGACTCACGTCCTTCTCTCGTCAAGTATTATCTTCACTGCCCTTTTCTCCTTGTTTATCTCCCCACATACTCTCTCTCCTCAAGCTTCTCTCTCTTAACAAGGGTCTCCCTAACCTCAGGCATCCTCTATCTTGCTTCAATAGTGGGCGCGACTCCAGCGTCTCCTCAAGTGTCCTCTAGTTAATTGTGATAACATGATTTTTTTTGTTTTTTGTTTTGCTATAGCAACAATAATAAAAAAATTCTTTTAAAAGAGATTAGATGAATTAGCATCTTATGTAACAAGTATTAATTTTTATGTAAAAAGTAAATATAAAACAATAAATTAAAAGATAGTAGATTTATTGGAGCCTAAACTCTAATACCAATTGATGCGGAACTCGGAATCTACAACGTAATTCAAAATCTCGCATATATATTAACAATTAGAAATTCAAAATCTTAAGTAAACTTTTCCTACTTGACTTGTATTCAATGGGGGAGTAAAAATTAAGGTAGTAGAGAAAGAATAAAAACTAAGATAATAGAAAAAAAAACAAAAAAGTAGAATTGCAAAATACCATGAGACTTACTTCCACAAGTAATTTCAATTCTTGCTCAACAAGTTGGTCGAACACACGCCCATTGAATTCATTCTTGAAAGCTTCTAAGTTAAAGCAAAAATATTTAGATTTTTATTGATAATCTGAATTGTATATCTAATGGGGGAGGGTGACCTCCTTATATAGAATTTCTACCACTAAGTCTACTTGAAAAGGAAATACATATTCCTACTTGAAAAAATGAATTCTTAATATAATTAGAAAACAAAACTCAATTAAAACAAAGTACTTAAATTAAAAACATTAGTCTTTTTTCTCTTGGATTTGTAAGACTCCTATTCGGCCTCTTTGTTGCTGTTCTCATCGGTTTTAGCTTCTTTTTTTCTTCTTTTTCTTTCCTTGTTGCAGATTTCTGGTAGTAATAGGTGTCTTCTTACAGTCTTGAAGTGTACCTTTTTGGAAGAGGATTTGGTGATAGAGATAAATACTTGGTCGATTCCTTTCTTAAGTCTCTTTATTATTTTCTTGCAATTTGCTCTAAATCCAAACAGAAGTCTTCAAATATGTCCATATAGAAAAAGAATTTTGTTTTCCTAGTTTGGTGAGGAACTCCTGCAGGTGAGTGATGAGAATCCTCCCTCCTCTCGACCATGGGCCTGCAAGGCCAAGATCATGCATGGCTAAGCAACTTATTGCTTTCTTGGACCTCTTCTTGACAGTTATTGATCTTCCAATTCTGTTTCTTGGTTGATCCAATATTGGACAACCATATTGAAAGCCTTTTGAAAATTCTTGGCTCTTGTTCGAGTAATGGGACCTTGTGGGATTTGGATCTTTTTTCCTAACTCTCCAAATATGTTATCTTGATGAATCTTGATGCTTTCTTGGTCAAAAACTGTATGAGGGATCAAAGCTGACCAGTTGGAGCTTCCTTCCATGGTGTTTGGGTTTGCATCAATGGGTATATCCCTAAATGTAATATCCAAAATATTATCTTATGAAAGATGAAAAAAATATTGAGTATGGAAATACAGACACTTGTAAATAACCTAACTTAAAAAATGATGGATCAACTAAAATGTAAGAAACTAATAGAATCCAATTGAATTTTCTCAATCAAATATAAATTAGATGGAACAACTGAGAGATATAAAATATAAAATAAGATTGGTGGCAAAATGTTATATACGAACATATGGAATAAACTATCAAGAGGCATTCACACCACTAGTCAAGATAAATTCTATGCAAATTGTTGAGGGAAATTAATTCTTAAAGCATGCACAATTATAAACGAAGTAAAAAACATAAGAGAAAATAACACAAGATTTTACGTGGTTCGATGGTGTGCCTATATCCACACATGAGATTAGTAAGAAAAATATTCTACTATGATTAAAAAAGAATACATTACTCATAAGTTAGCAAATTTATATATATGAAAACTTTTAGGATTTATTTACGTACTCAGTATATATATAAAATTAATTCATAGGATAAATACGAAAATACTCTCATGATTAAAATCATTAGAATTTAAGTCACATCAACAAATCTTCTAATTTACTTGAATTCTTTTCAACATCAAAGGAAATGACCTTCTTATCGTTCTGTCTTGCCATGATACCCACTTAGGGGTGCTATTGAGTATCACATACTCCAACCAAGTCTAGATTGTACCTAAACTTGTTTTCTAATCCCTGAACGAAGTGACATCGGCCATCAAGTACTTCACACGCAACACCAATCACCTGATCTGTATCTGAACTTTTAGGTTCCTACAAATCAACTATCCCTGCAACTGTCAAGTCATATGTAACCAGATTCTCATACTTATGTGGTCGTATAATTTGTCTTTTTTCTATGCCTGGTACAATACTACATGGTTATTGTTGATTAGGTACACCATCACTTTTTTTATTAAGATCTTGCACTTTAGTCCTTGGACCATTGGGCTGAACTTCTAACTCTAACTTTTCTTTAACACTATGATCTGATTCTACTATTATCTTTCCTTTCTGACTGTCTAGTGAAGTAGACTCATTAAATGTCATATCTTTGTTGATAATCAGCCTTGAAGACTTGGAATCACTACACCACAACTTATAGCATTTCACACTAGATGCATATCCCAAAAATATGTATTTTTTTTACCATCGGCTCAAATTTACCATCCATAATATGAGCATAAGCAGGACAACTAAATACTCTCAAATGAGAGTAATCAACAGATGACCCAGTCCATACCTCAAAATGAGTTTTATATTCAATAGTTATAGATAAAGATTTATTAACCAAGAAACTAGTAATGTTTACAACCTCAACCTAAAATTATTGTCCCAAGCTTGAATGAGATAGCATGCTTCGTGTTTTATCACATAGTGTTCTATTCATGCGTTCTGCAATACCATTCTGTTGTGGTGACCCAACACAAGTGCAGTGTCTCACTATTCTTTCAATACTGTAGAAATCATTAAATACATTATTACGAAATTTCAACCCATTATCAGTCCTAAAAAGTTTGATCCTTTTCGTTGTCTGCTTCTCAATCATGATCTTCTATATGACAAATGTTGAAAATACATTTTTTTTAGATTTCAAAAAATACACGCATATCTTCTTAGAGTAATCAATCAATATCATGAAATACTTGGCACCACTTTTGAAGGGAACTTTGTATGGACCTCATAAGTAAAAATGAACATAATCCAACTTATCTATGGTCTTATACACTGTCTTTTTGTTGAACTTCACTATGATTTACTTCTCAAATATACAATCTTCACATAAACCCATGACTTCTTCTTTGTACTCGTTCAACAAACTCTGCCTACTCAAAACAGATAATCTCACATCACTCATATGACTTAAACGCAGATGCCACAATTAATTCTGATTATTGCTCCCTGATGTTACAACAAGTTCTCCTAAAACTATATTTTTCCAAAGAACATACAATCTATATTCCAAACTGGCTTTCATGAAGACTATTGAGCATTTGCACACTTCAAGAATACTATTTTCTACATAAAATCCATACAATTGAGAATCCAAAGTAGAAAGAGAAATTAAGTTTCTCTTTATCTGAGGAACATACCAACACTCGATGGTTCTGACAGCTCCATCAAATGTTCTTAATTTGATGTCACTAATTTCATATACAGTCAATAGACTATCATTGCCCATGTATAAAGTACCATTCATATGTTTATATATAGTAAATCAATACTTGTGTGGACACAATGGAATATAGCACTAGTATCAAGAATCTAAGAGTTCTTTTCATAATCAAAACTCATAGATAAAACTTCTCCAGCACTTTTGCTATCACTATCATCAGAATTGTTGTTGTCAATTAAATTAACAGAGTTCTCTTGCTTTTTTCCCTTTTTCTCTCTCAACTTGGGACAATTTCTTTTAAAGTGATCCTGCTCCCCGCATTCATAACAGTTTGTCTTCTTAACTCTAGAGTTTGATCTATGTCTTGACTTATTATTTCTTTGTGTTTTTCACCTATTAACCAAACTCTCTCATTCTGTTCTATACTTTAGGAAGTTCTTTTTCAACTCTTTTTATTTTAATGCATCATTGATAACAACATCATGTGAAATATTGTCCTTTCAGTATAATAGAGTGTCAACAAAAGTCTCATATGATAGTGGTAGTAAACACAATATAATTAGGGTCTAATCCTCATTATTAATTTTGATACCTATATTGTTCAAGTCCATAATGATAAAACGAAATACATCAAGATATTGTTGAATGAGTATACCTTCACTCATTTTCAGATTATACAACTTTTTCTTCAGATAAAAATAGTTTGTCAGCGATCTTATAGAATATAATTCTTCTAATTTCTTCTACGCAGCTGAAAGGGAAACTTCCCTAGCAATTTTCTGCAGAACATTATTAATTAAACTCACGAAAATCGCATATAAGATTTTATCTTGCAGATTTGTTTCTAGCTCTCTCATACTATCTGAAAATTTTTCTTCAATTGCCTTCCACAAACCCTATAGTACTAGTGATGATCTCATTCTAATTTTTTATAAGCTGAAACTCGTTTTATCATCAAAATTTTCTACCTTATACTTTATGGATGTCATTTCGAATATCTAGATTATGCACCAAAAACAAACAAATAGAAAAAAATAATACTATCAGAAGAAAATAAAAAATTACTCATAGGGAGTCACCACTGCACAGAAAACTACCGCACGCAACCATCAGAGTACTGTATGTGCCTTCACGCACCACCATGTGCCTCCACATGTGTGGCCCGTGAAGATATCACGCATCGTCGCTCACTATCGTCGAAAATCACCAAAAAGATATAAAATGGTGACCCTTTTGTTGCGGCATAGATCTATTGAAAACACGTTGAAGAACTGCTAAAAACACCGTAAATCGGGCCTCGCATGATCCAGAGTCTTCCACTCTGGTTCATTTTCTCTAACTTATCCTCAGCTCCTCTCTTCGGCTTTCTGGCCTTAAACTTCACAAACGTCGTCGAACAACCCTTCTGTCCCCTTCGGTTGTACAGATCAAACAAAAAACGCCTTAGTTGTGCGTTTTGTTTCTGGCCAGCCGCGATCTTTTAGCAAGCTGCATGCATGGACCGATTTCTTTTATCTGGTTGCACAGGGAGCAGTCGTGTGCACGAACCAGTTCGTATGGGTCTAGCTCGCCACCATCATCGCCGATCTAAGCTACTGTTGTTGCTGCTGGTCTTGAAGGAAAGACAAAGAAACTTAGCTATTATTGGTTTTTTGTTTCTGGTTTCCCAAATTTTTTTTCTCTCACTAACTGATATGCTTTCTTTCTCTAATTCAACTCAAACTTGAGCTCTAATACCACATGTTGGGGAAATTAATCCTTAAAGTATACACAATTACAAACAAAGTAAAAAACAGAAATAAATACACAGGATTTTACGTGGTTCGGCAGTATGCCTATATCCACGGGCAGACTAGTAAGAAAAATATTATACTGTGATCAAAAGATAATACATCACTCATAGATTAGTAAACTTATATATAGGATGCTTTTAAGATTTTTTATGTTCCCAGATAAATATAAAAATACCCTCATTATAAAATCATTAGAATTTAAGTCACGTCAATAAGAATCTTATTATCATTAGTTGTCCCCTTTGATTAAAAATTACAACAGTTTGATATAAAAATGTCTTTTTTAATGGAGATTTAGAAGAAGAGATCTACACGAATTCTCCATCCGGCTTTAACATAGGAGTAAGTCCAAATGAGTCATATAAACTAAAGAAGGCTTCATATAGGCTTAAGTAATCACCAAGAGCATGGTTACAGGTTTGCAATGATGATTATAAATATTAGATTTAAACATACTAAAAAAAATTATTTTTTTTATCAAAAACTTATATACAAAGGGAGTTATAACTCTCCTAGTATGCATTGATGATATTATTGTAATCGAAAACAATAAGAATGAACAACAAACATTAAAATAATGCTTAAAAACAGAATGCAAAATTTAGATTTTAGTTAAGTTGACATATTTTCTGCAAATAGAAGTTGATAGCTCTAGATCATTAATTTTTATTTGTTAACAAAAATGCATTCATGAAGTACTAAAAGACACTAGCTAACATATAAACTAGCTAGCACTCTTCTTGATTCTAATCACAAACTAGAAATAATAGAGGAAGATACAGTAGTAAATAAAGAATGCATAAGAGATTAGTTAAAGGATTGATTTTCATACTCTATACAAGACTATACATCGACTATATAGTATGTATTGTAGGTAAGTTCATGCACAATTCAAAAGAAGTACACCTACAAGCAACCTACATAGTATTTCAACACTTAAAAAGAGTCACTGGAGAAAGGAATTATGTTTCAAGAAGAATAACAAATTGCTCCTAGAAGTCTATATTGATGTAGATTATGAAGGATCGATTGTAAATAAAAGATATACTACAAATTACTATATCTTTCTTGGAGATAACCTAATCACATGCAGAAATAAGAAGCAAAATATAGTTGTGAGATCAAGTGGAGAATTAACATTTCAAACAATGACACAAGGGTTATATGAACTACTATGGATAAAAAGAATCATGAAAGATATTAAAATAAAATTTGCAAATCTTATGCACTTGTACTGTGACAACAAGTTGACTATACAATCTAATATAATATGATTGAATCTAACATATTTAGATTGATAGTCATTTTATCAAAAAAAAAAAATTTGACAATGATTTAATATGTATGCCATACATGCCTACTAATTTTTAAAGTGTAGATGTATTAATTAAGGTGTAATCAACTTAATATTCCAATCTTTTATTGACAAGCTGGGGATGTATAACATCTATTCCTCATCTTGATGAGAGTCTTAAAGAGGAAGGAGTTCAAAGGTATTGAAGATGAAGTAAATTAAAGTGTTAAAGAGGCAAAAAAAAAATCAAAATATTAAAGAAAAAGTAAATCATGGTGTTTAGAAAGGAAATAAATCAAGGTAATAGAGAAAGCAAATCAAGCTAAAGATAAAATTGTACTACTTGTAATTAATTGTGTATTTTCTTTTTTGTTCTGAAAAATTTATATATATTATATTATAATATTTAATGAAATAGACATTAATCAAAATAACATTTTTAATAAAAACCATAGAGATAAGAAGTTGAGGAAAATCAATTTTAAATATTTATAATAGAAAATAAAATAATTATTTAAATTTTTTAAAAATTATATATTATTAATTATAAAGAAGGAACTTCTTAGAATATGAAAATAAATTGAAATAATTTTAAAATTATATTTTAAACTTAATCAACAAAAAAATTTAAAATTTCCTTAAAGAATCTAACATGCTGATTTATATTATTTTGTGAAAGGAATTATAAATGAAAATAAAAATAGAAATTTAAGGTAAATTATTATTTTAAAATTTGAACTGTTTTTCATAATATAATTAATTCTAAAATTTCTTTCTATTATAATTTGATCTTAAAGGTATAAAATTATGCAATTGTTTATGTTAAACCAAAAAAAAATAATCATAAACATATATTAAAAAAGAAGAATTTTACAAAAATATATCTTTGAATTCGTAATCTTAAAAAAAATATTGTATTTCTAAATTATTTTTATGTTGACCGGATAATGTAGGAACAATTTCTATTATTTGGGGTACAAAAAATTCATTAAAAAAAAAACAAATTTGAAAGCAATTTTGTTAGGTGAGAAACTCAATTGTAATTGGAAAACTATTTAATATTAAACTAAAAAATATATATTTTAAATATTAAATTGTTAACTTTTTCAAAGCTATAAATTTTTAAAGTTAAACTCGTTTGTGGTCTGCTGTGGTATGCAAGATTGCAAAGGCAATGTCCAAAGATGGAATATTAAATCTCCATAAATGTCCAAAAAATTTACAGACATATTACCATATAATCTAATATGTTACTACAATTATCCTTCTAAATATTTTTCCTTTTTCCCATTCCATCTTCCTTTTCTGTCTTTTTTTTTTTTTTTTAAATAATAATTAAAGAAACAGTGCTGGCACGAGTGAATTTCAGCAGGCTCTTCACCTTCTTCACATCGTTCTCTTATTTATAACCCAGACAAATAAATTTGCTCGCTGCGCAGAACTCTTTTCTCATTTTTTTTCACTAGTAAAGGTCTTCCTGTTTAGTTCCAAGTCCACCTCTGTATTTCTTTCTTTTTTTTTTTTTAACATATACTTTTTCTAGGTTGTCGTTCTGTTAAGAGAATTTTACAGTCGGATTATATGAGTCAGAGGTAAGTTTTAAGGGTGGTGAAGGAATAGTCATGCTTGTTTGGGATATTAAACAAGTACGATATTCTGTTAAGGTCTCATTATAGCTGCAGATTACTCATAATCTTTGCTTTTTTATGTGGTTATAGTACAACTACAAGAAGCCTCCCTTTCATCTCTCCTTCTTCTTCCTTTCTGGTTCTCTCTTTGCAGCATTACGTGTGAATGAGGAGCCTGGAGAAGGGAACTTGAACTTTTAGTTCCGGGGTTTTGGTTCTTGTAATTGGAACTGAAACGGGTAGTTCTCATTTTTTTTTTTTTTAATTTCAAGATCTGAGTTTTGAAGATTTCGGTAGGTACATTTAAGATTTCTCTGGCTGGTGGGTGAATAGATTGGGTTAGTTTCTTTTATATCAGAAAAACATGGCTCCGGGATTTTATTTTTCAGATTGGTGGGCTAAGGATAGCAGGAAGGGGACGCCAGTGGTGGTGAAAATGGAGAACCCCAACTACTCTGTTGTGGAAATCGACGGCCCAGATGAGGCATTTAGGCCTGTGGAGAAGAGCAGGGGACGAAATGCTAAGCAAGTGACGTGGGTTTTGCTACTCAAGGCTCATCGCGCTGTTGGTTGTGTTGCTTGGCTAGCCACTTTGGTCTGGGCGTTGCTTGGGGCCATAAAGAAGAGGCTAATGTTTAGGGAGGGAGTGAGGGTGGCTAGTGAGAAATTGGGTAAAGGGAAGTTGATATTTAGGATGCTTAAATTGTTTTTGTTTACTTCTTTGGTAATTCTGGCTTTTGAAGTGGTTGCTTACATCAAAGGTTGGCATCATATGAAAAATCCTAACTTGCACATTCCAAAAACTAGTGAGATCCAAGGCTTGCTCCACCTACTCTATGTTTCTTGGTTAACGTTTCGAGCTGATTATATTGCTCCACAAATCCAAGCTTTGTCTATGTTCTGTGTCTGTCTGTTCCTAATCCAGTCTGTTGATCGTATGGTACTTTGTTTGGGTTGCTTGTGGATTAAGTTCAAGAAGATTAAGCCCAGAATCGAAGGGGATCCATTCAAGTCAGATAATGCTGAGGGATCAGACTGCATGTACCCTATGGTTCTTGTTCAAATACCAATGTGCAATGAGAGAGAGGTAACTCATCGTAAACACAGCTCCGCCTCTTCTCTTTCACTCTTTGTTTTTATGATTCTTTTTTGTTTTGTATATTAGCAAATGCTGTTTCTTGCCAATGGCAAACTTAGATTTGGTTGTAGAAGTGCTCTGTTATGCTCCTGGTCCTAGCTAGCTGTAGAGTATGGGGAAGAAAATTACAACGTGAATTAAGATAATCAGCTGATATTCATTTCCAAAAATTTACTCATTTTTCTCAGAAGTTTGAGGTTTATGTAGATTGCAATAGTAATTCTGCTTTAAGAAGGGAAACAAAAAGGGGAAAAGCATAGGATGCAGTATTAGAATCAATAACACACACACACACGAGAAAAAGACAATTCAAATTTTTTTCTCTTAATTCTCCTCTTGATATTGGTATGTTTTCTGCACTTACCTCATTCAGGTATATAAGCAGTCCATATCTGCAGTCTGCCAACTTGATTGGCCGAAGGACCGAATACTAATTCAGGTTCTGGATGATTCTGATGATGAGAGCATCCAATGGTTAATCAAGGCAGAGGTTACCAAGTGGAGCCAGAGTGGTATCAACATAATTTACCGCCATCGCATTGTTAGAACTGGCTACAAAGCTGGGAATCTCAAATCTGCGATTAGCTGTGACTACGTGAAGGCATATGAGTTTGTTGCTATTTTCGATGCAGATTTTCAACCTTATCCAGATTTCCTTAAGTGTACTGTGCCACATTTCAAGGTAAGGACATTCTCTTTCATTGAGTGTTTCTGTCAAAAACCAAATTTCTTTGGGATTCAAATTAAGCTTCCTTTTTTCTTCTCGTCATCCAGGACAATCCAGAGTTGGGGTTGGTTCAGGCTAGATGGGCGTTTGTGAACAAGGATGAGAATTTACTGACTCGTCTGCAAAACATCAACCTGTGCTTTCACTTTGAGGTTGAACAACAAGTTAATGGTGTATTCCTGAATTTCTTTGGTTTTAATGGAACTGCTGGAGTCTGGAGGATTAAAGCCCTTGAGGAATCTGGAGGCTGGCTTGAGAGGACAACTGTCGAGGACATGGACATAGCTGTTCGTGCACATCTAAATGGCTGGAAATTCATATTTCTAAATGATGTGAAGGTAATATGACGTTCAATTAATTCAGTTATCCTTCCTGTCCAATTTTTTCACTTCCATTTCTCCATTTATAATTTACTTCTACAAGTTTAGAATTTGATTTGATGACTTCAAAGGTTTTTTTTTATTAGGAGTCGGATGTGCTATTACAATATTGATGTGTTAAAAAGCTGGTAGACTGTTTTTTGGAAAACTCTGTTGTGATAAATGGACATTGAGAGCATGATGAATTTTTAGATACAAGCATAGAAGAAAAGAGATGTGTAATTAGTAATGAATTCCTCGAAATATATACGTTCCCTGACAAACCAATATGCAATGTCTAGGTCCTTTGTGAGGTTCCTGAGTCTTATGAAGCTTACAGGAAACAGCAACATCGCTGGCATTCTGGTCCCATGCAACTCTTCCGCTTGTGTCTTCCAGAAATCATAACTTCCAAGGTATATATGGGCTATGTTTGTAATAACTATACTTATGGAATTTGTTTGGGAAATGCACGCTTTAACTAGAAGATGATGAAGATTGTTTTCAAAATATGAAACTTAACA